CTATTTCTCGTTGTTCGCTTTGTGTTGCCGCAGTATTCGCCACAATATTAATTGTTAAAAATATCAAAATATAAAAAATTATCAAAATATTCGCCATAAAAGGGCCTCTGCATTGTTCAACTTTGCATTCTACTTTGTCGAACGGCCTTTCAACTAATCGCTTTCAACCAAGGTGCATCAATACAAGGTGGTGTTGATTGATCAGCTGGTTGGATATTTTTGTCTCTACACTAGTACAGGAGAATGTCATCCAAGACGAAGCGGCGCAACTTTAGGATGTCAACAAAAGAAAATGATGAAAATTATCTCCTATTCCCTTTCGTTTTGACATCCTCCTGTACCAAAAAGCAATAACAAAATACACGGGACTTTTACTTATATGCAATCAACACCACCTTGTATGGATGCGCCTTGCTTTCAACAGAGTTGGTCGCCAGCCAACGGCATTCAACTTTTTTTTCGTGCAACCCTACGTGAGTTGAACGCAAAAGTTAAACGCAAGGCGAATTTATTCAAGGTGGTGTTGATCATGAACCAAAAATACAAGATCACGCCTTCTTCTTAGTAGCCCGTTATAATCTCATTTAGGAAAAAAGTTGGGCGACTTTGACATTAGCCGTTTGTTTACATTTGTTTTGCTTATAATTTGGTGGTGGCTTTTTACTGCAATTTTCTTAACTTTCGCTTGTGACAACGTGTGCACACATAAGGTAAAGAATAATTTAACACAACGACATGATTTATAGAAGAATTTGCATAATAAAAATGATTATTCATGCGTTCAACAATTACGCGTTTTTTTTTTTGTTTACTTCTTACAACAAAGATGGCGTCGAGATTTCAACAGCTATAAAATAACTTTATTTCTTTTGGGAAGGCGTGATCTTGTGTCTTTCGTTCATGGGTGTTGATGGCGCATTTAGATTTTCGTCGCGGTACTTCTTAGGCCCTGTAACAATTGATAGAAAATAGAAAATTTTGACGGATCAAAGTAAAAATTTGACACTTCTCGTGGTGAATACGAACGTCAAAATTTTACCTAGCTAATGGGGCTAGGTAAAATTTTGACAGCTTATAACCATGTATACACATAATATTGCTTGGCGGTAATGAGGAGTGAACTGGAAATTAAAGCTGAAACAGCATAAAAAAAGCGTACGATACTTGCAAATTATAAAATAAATATAAATTTTAAGAATTTCAGCAAC